TGTGTGTGTGTGTGTGTGTGTGTTCATTCGAGAGTAAGAACAGCTTCCTGTAGACTTTTACTCGTGTCAAAGATAGTACATAACAAGATGGTCCACTCAGCCGAAAAAGTGTCCGCCGGAAGTCCGCTCTTTGCTTCAGATAGCGCTGCAGTCTGTTTTGAAGCTCTCTTTCGTTTTTCCTGAAGAAGAATAGGAATAGCACCTCCTTGCGTGCGCAGATCGACTGCTATTCATCAGCAGTTCGGGTTCTTTCCGTGCGGAGTTTTAGTTTTTTAAATTTAAATTTTAATGACCTCTCGCCTTTCATTCTAAAGTCAAATCAAAATAAGAAAACAATCACCCCTTCGTCCGGAAGAGGTTTTTTGTCAGCCTAACCATTTTAGAAAAGCGTTCTTCCGAAATTTATTCAAAAACTTGCTAGTTTCACTTTGATTTTTGTAACACAAGTAGGGTAACTCTGTTCGCAAAGGGTGCGCATTTACGAAGAGGGCGCCACAAAATTTTGAGGACACTTTTTAAATTGGCTCAAAGAGAGGATTGGTCCCTCTTGTTATATAGACTCTTTGCTCGTGTGCCTCTATTGTGTTAGTTGGACTGGTTGATCTATAAGTGACCAGTGCCTCGGTTAGCTGAGTATCTCCTATTTTAATCATTCAGTAGTTCATATGTATGGGTAGTTACTGGTACCTACACAAGGGATCGATAGCTACACCACTCGGTCGACAGAACTGGCCTATCAAATTTGGTTAAATCTATCGTAGCGCATCAATCTTTCTCATTATGTCCCACAGTGTATCGATTACTTTGAACTGAATCGACAGTGTATCTGCAAGTATATGAAATGTATCAGCAACGTATTGATTGTTTTAGTAAGTGATTTACGGCACTTGCAACACAATCATGTCGTATAAGTGTCGAAGATTAGAGGTGTTACAAGAGAGTACAAGCACAAAAAAGGAAGAGGAGGAGGAGGAGGAAAAATAAGGACGATAGTTGTTTGATAGAAAAAAAAGGAGCAAACCACATCAGAGCACCCGCCAACCACTCACAATGCATCGACGTCTTTGGGTAGTTTATTGGTGTCTAGGAACTACGACTTTAGTAGAATCAACTTGATTGAATTTTTGAAAAGGAAGCGGGGGGGGGGGGGGGGGGCTGGATTGGAAGGGGTCAATTATACAGGTGATTGCCTTGGACAGGTTGCAGTTAGAGCAAGTTCGACTTACACTACAGTTACAATGGGAAAGTGCGTTTTAACCCTTTCCGTACGTCGTGTTTTACTATCGTATCCCTACGACGTGGGGAACTCTGTGCCACTACTTTCAAAGAGGAAATTTACTCGGGAATCCGATCCGTACACTTTGCAAAGCAGTCTGACAAAATTATTTTTTGAGAAATACAGAAAGTTTCAAAGAGATCTTCGTACTAGAAGTATTCTAAAATGTGAAGAATACACCCCGGGGGTACAAAATACCCAAGGGCGTACGCATAGGGTTAACTTGAATATTTGCCATCAAATTACAAACTGCCTTTTCCTGTTTTTCGATGCTGTTGTTGCTGCTGTTTTTCTTGTTGTTCTTGTTGTTGCAATTGGTTGATGTTATTGCCGATGTGTGTAATGTCCCCACAGTTCATATAGGTGATCAGGTCGTGACACCAGATAGCTCATTTTAAAAACATTAAATATGGGTTTTTTTTACATCCCCATCGACACAATTTACATCATTTAGGAGGCGGGCTTTCGACTCTGCCTGTCAACGCCAACTTGGACTGAGAGGGATACAACGTCCCAGCACAATGACCGAGATCCAATAAAAACTGTTCAACTTTTTTTTCTAAAGATCTCGCACAGAATTTGTACTAGAATGTTGTAATTTGGAACAGATATAATTCATTCAAAAGGAATTTGTTTGACATAAAATTCACAAAGAAGAAACTTATTTTGGAAAACGGAAATGGCTTTTATAAAAACCACCTATAAATGCAAAATGCACCAATTTAAAAGATCTTGTAATGAAAGCCATGTAATGATTGGTTTGTTTTTTTCCTTTCCTTTCATTTTTATAATCTGATCTTTCCATCCCTGTCACCTTTAAACAATAATTTTTTTCTCCTACAAAGTAAAAGAAAAAATGTTAATGCTGGAATTCCGAGAACCAATGGTCAGTATGTCCTCCTTTGGACTCAACACACTTTAACGCCTCGTTCATAATGTTTCAGTGGTGGCAAAACACAAGGATCCACTCAACCATGAGTAATCAAAGCAACACACAATGCACGCCTACAGTATGGAGCTGTTTCTAGAGACAATAGGGGATGGGGGTGAGGTTGCCCAAATAGACAGCATTTGTGAAGTTGATATAACTTGAAAGGTGAATATGGGCTTTGCAAAGGAATCAAATTATGTCATAGAGGAAATGTTCACGCTTTTCAGGACTATCGAGGAATCATGAACACATTGCTATCCTCTGCTAGCTTCACGAACAGGAAAATGGTACAGTCGTAGATGACGTTCTGCATTTAGAATGTGGACCGTTGAGAATTAGGAAAGTCATTGCTGTAGACATCGTCCTCGGACAGACGTCTCAAGGGGCTCATCTACTGAATTCTGCACCCTGGTGACATTGAAAGGGCTGCGAACGGTGTGTGTTTGAGCTAAAGTGGTCGTTTTGTGTCGGAATTATTAATTCTCTGCAGGTCCGAACTGATGGACCATTTCCACCCTTGACATCAAAAAAGGCCTTAATGGCACGTTAACATTATTTCCGTACCTTGCGCTAAACTTACGAAATGAGTTGGTGGTGAGGAAATGTTCAATACAAAAAGCTCTCTGCTCTTTATTAATCTAAACCATGATCTCAGCAGGCAGAGGAAACTTGAGAAAAACTATCAGCAAACTTCTGTTGGCCTGTTAGACTATTGTAGTTCGCATTTTGGCGAAATCGTTGGGAATTTTAGTGGTAGGCTTAATGCGAACTAGTGCGTCATGCTACTGAAATGGGGACACAGCTGAAAATGGGTCGGTTTTTTTTCGCGCTATGCAGAGCAAAACTATTCTGTGAATTTATCTAAAATGTATGTCAAACAAATTTCTTTTCACTTCCAAATGTTATGTACAAATTTGAAACGCCAAACTTCAGTGAGGAGGAAATTTTCAACCAAAAAAGTTGTACAAGTTTGTTTTTTTGGGACCACCCTGTACTAGATAAAAATGTCTCCCTACTCGGAAGCTGAATTCAGGTATCCTGCGTTCGATAGCTAAGCAGCTAATACCCTTTGCCCATTGGCAAGATAGGTTCGGTTCGGTTTGGTAGTCAGAGCTAGCTAGATTGAGGGCGAAGAGCGAACATCCTGACACGAACCGAATGAAGCCGACGGTGACCTTCAAAAGCAAACGCGTTTGTTTTCAAGGTCGTGAGTCGCTCGATCGGCTTGTATACAGATAATCACAACAAGCCTTCGTAACCTACGGGTCACGTGACCATCATGACACAGCGTTGTCACGGTCAGGCCTTTTCACACGAAATGCCATTAACAAAATACAATTAACATCATAACAAAATAAATCTCGAGAAGATCATTGAGATCTATAGATCCTTCCCATGTTTATGAGATTTTTAGAATGCCGCAACATTCAAACCGTGGTATGCAAAAAAGAGCCCTGGAAGCCATGATTCAAGGGTGTGGCTTTCCTGTGAACGGTAAGTGTTGTTATTTTGATAAACTTTGTTTACACAGTAGACCCCTGCCGCGATTGTATCCGGGTCATCGGATACACTCGCGGCAGGAGTCTATTTCGTAGCGGACACTGAAACCACCAGAACACGGCCCGACCCGGACCGAACCGATCCCCCAATGGGCACCGCCTATACCCGCTACACTAAAGATGTCGGTGCGTCCACTGGAGGTATTGTCGGTGTTTGTAATGTACCAAGAGTGCGAACAGGCGATAAGGTCATGACACCCGATAGTTCCGTCGACCTTGGTATTCACAACAAATTAATTGGTAAGTCCACCTGAGTAGTATTGTCTGGCGGCCTTGGTATATTTAACCAATTGGTAACTTCACCTGAGTTATTGCCCAGTGGCGAGGGAAAACCAGGGACAAGTTGCACTAATTAAAGTCTGTCATTCATTCAACATCCAGCAAGCTGTTCATTCATCGATCAATCCATTCTCCAGATAACAGAAGACTAAGGATATTAAAGCTATTTTGGTGAAAGCTTTATATCATATTTTACCCAATACATAATATAATTATATTATGATTATATATATATATATATATATATATATATATATATATATATATATATATATATATATATATATATATATATATATATATATATATATACATATATACATAGATCTCTATAGAAAACATATATTTATACAGTCGAACCTGGCTTGACGATGGGCGTCGTGGACAGTATCACTGTAGGATTCTTTTAAACGTAAAAGAGGGGAAGGGGTTGGAAATGGGAAGTGGTCGTTTGTACAGATCATTGTCTTGGACGGGTGACCTGAAGAGCAAGTTAAGCTGTACATTATAATAACAATGGAACAGGGCAGTTTAACTAGAATATTACTTTTGTCGGCAACCTACAAATTGCTTTGCGTGTTTGTTTTCTGTTTTGTTACTACTGCTGCTGCTGCTGCTGTTGTAGTTTATTTTGTTGTTGTATCTTCTTCTTCTTCTTCTTCTTCTTCTTCTTCTTCTTCTTCTTCTTCTTCTTCTGTAATTGTTGATGTTGCTATCACTGCTGTAGCTTTCAGACGAAGGATAATCGAAGCCGACAAGAAAAACTACTACGATAGCAATGCCAGAGTACGATTTTCAACAGAAAGACGTTTTTCGGTGTGCACTCCACATGCAACTCACAGAAGCCACCCACCTCAAAGGGGAAGTAAGTGATGTCCATTTCACAGGTGACCAGGAGCAGGCCCGGTGGGTTCCACGTCACAACGCCCTTGTCATTAACACGCACTGGGATGGTATCCTCGTCAATGGCCGACAGGTCATTAACGCTGGAGGAGAAAAGGACGGGAAAAGAGAAATTGAAATCGCTGGACGGCTGTTTTTCTCTCTGATATCACGGACACATTGAAAAGTTTGTCATTTGTTTTTCTCGAAACTTTGGATTGGCACTTTGGCACTTCTTGCACTGAGCCCTTCATATTTACTACAAATTTAATATGCAGTCACTGACTACAAACAGGTGTGTTTACTACAAATTTATCAAGTACTGACTTCCAACACATAGATCTATACTTACTACAAATGTAACTTGCACTGACTGGAAAAGAGTTATTGAAATCACTGTACAGTTTTTATCTCTGATTTCATGAACACATTGAAAACTTTGTCATTTGTTATTTTTCAAACCTTGTATTGGCTCTTAAGCATTTTTCGCGCTAAATCCTTCATATTTACTACAAATTGAATATGCACAGACGTCCAATACATGTACATGTGTTTACTACAAATTTAATGTACACTTACTTCTATTCCAGGTGTTTACCACAAAGATAACAGCAGATAGAACATTTGGTTTCTGACCTCATATGGTCTTAAAAACTCAAAACGACCAAAAATGTCAGATAGAATTTTGTAATTCTAAGGTAGCAATGTGTTTACGATAAATACAAAATGCCCTCACGAGTTGTCCACTACCAAAGTGGGGGTCCATAGCTTGTCGTCATCCAGCTGCAATACAGGGATGCCGGTGTAGTTGCTTTTGTCCCAGGACAGGCGAGTGTCTGTCCACCGCTGGGTTTTGTTGTTGTTGTTGTTGTTGTCGTCGTCGTCGTCGTCATCGTCGTCGTTGTTGTTGTTGTTGTTGTTGTTGTTGTTGTTGTTGTTGTTGTTGTTGTTGTTGTGTGTGTGTTTTGTACAATTATGTGAGTTTATGTGTGTGTGTGTGTGTGTGTGTGTGTGTGTGTGTGTGTGTGTGTGTGTGTGTTTGTGTGTGTGTGTGAGGGGTGTGTGTGTGTGAGGGGTGGGTGGGTGGGTGTGTGTGGGGGGAGATGAGGTGGGTGGATAAGAAAGGGGGTGGGAGAGACACAATAATGTATGGGTTACAGCCTTCGTGTCGGTGCATGGCATATGCAAGAACAAAACAATAGGCCACTCCTCTAAAGATGCTATGTTTGAGATATTCAGCAGCAGTTGAAAAACATCAGCGGGGATAGCAAAAAAAAGAGGGGTGGGAAAAGGAGGGCGGGGTTGGGGGTAGGGGATAAATGTCATGGGAAAAAATGAATGTTATACTCAAAAGTTGAAGTACTCGCATTTGATGATTACACGCAAAGCCATATTATAGCCCTTTCATTTCCTCGTGCCCATGTTTGCAATGCGATATCTAAGCTATCTTTTGACTTATTGCTTTGAGAATTTGGGAATTGGCAAATGGGTTTGGGGTGCCAGTGACTGTCAGGAACATTATTTTGCGTTGCGAAAGTCGTAGCCGTTACTGGATTCGTCTTTTTGCTTGAATGTATACAATTTGGAATAGTTTACACTCCCGAAGTCATTGCGTTGAAAATAATGACGATTTCACGCTAGAGCTCACATTTTTTTTCGCTCTGCACACTCCCCCCTCCCATCACCCCATACTTTTAACCCCTCACCCCCACCCCAAAATGTGCCAGGAAGGAATGTCAAATTACTGTAAAACAGAACTTTTAGGTTAGGAATTTTGTAATATTCCAAAAGCATAAAAGGAATTCATTGTTTAATTAATTAAATAAACCTCTCAACGTGAAGAATAAAAGATACGTAAATCTTACGGTGAGTCAAAATATGAGACTGTTTGCAAAAAGGCAGAGTATACGACAGTCAGATTTTGAGAAAAGAGCAAGAAACTGTCGGCAAGAGAAAGTGAACGGACTATAATAATACTGTACAAAAAAGCTGTTTGAAAAGTTCACTTTTACTCTAAAGGAGCTGATAGGCCTAAACAGACTGATACATGCGATCTATGACCACAATGAAGTCGTCATTAACCTACTAAGGTGTAAAAAATAGTAAATGTGTTGCATGATAGCAAAGGAGGACAAATTTCACATAGCAGGTATATCTACTTATGGCTGACACGCAGCAGAAGTGATCATTCTTAGCTATAATTGATCTTTGTATAATGGCACTTTATGTCTCGTGTAATGCACATTGTTCTTGTAACGCACTACACTTTTGTAATTTAGAAAAGGACAGTTTGTTCAGGTATTAGGACATCGTGTGTCCACTCACCATTGACCACCAGCCCGTCACACCAAACTGCTGTCCTTTGATGTCCTGAAAGAAAAACAGAGCTCCGTATGAACTGGTGTAACCAGAAACTACTGTGGTAAAGTGGGTAGACACTGCACGTCGCACGTGAAAGACCGGAGTTCGATTCCTGGGTGGGGAGAATATTTTTTATCAAGTAGCGTGGTCTTTCCTGCTGGGACGTTGTATCCTTCTCAGCCCACAAGTCTCTGATAGACAGGGTCGAAGCCCGCCTCCTAAACGATCTAAAGTATGAAGATGACTCGCAAAATACATAATATATTTTTTTTTAAAAGAACAAAACAAAACAAAACAGCCTCAAAACAATAATGACCTTTTTCGATATCTTCGGTGATTTTTGTATGACTATTGCTTACGCTTCAAACAATATGATTGTAGATTTTTGATCGGGGTACATCTAGTCTTTTTTCCAGGCGAAACGTAATAGTAAAAGTAAACGAACGAGCGCCTGTGATTGTCCCATTTCTACACAGTATTACATATTGATTATGAGACAAAAAGGTCCCAAGGAAGCAATCTGAGTTGATCTCTTCCATAAGAGACCCTAAAGTGAGGTTTAATCATTACACTCCTTAAAAATTCGAAAGATGACTACTTCAATTGCGGTATTTCGTCAATAGCGTCCATCTCCTTTAGGTTCAAGCCAAGTAGACAGAGAGCCTGAGGAACCCAAAGAACAATCGGAGTTTGAAAACATCAGACTAGGGTTTCGAACATGGGCCAACTCCTTGATACCAAATAGGCTACCTGCGGATGTCTTAATTATAGTGTCTGAAAAGAATTGTTTTACCAACTCAAAGCGTGGTGGCCAGTAATGAGCGAGCGCATGCTAATGTGGTTTAAGTTTATGCTATTTAATAGTGTCAAATGGGGCGCTTTAGATTGTCTTATAGCTGCTAGGATAGGGTTGAGGAGGAAGGTGTGATGGGTGAATAAATGATGATGGAATGAAGGACCAACTCATTTGGGAAGATATGCATGTGCATATTAAACAAGTAACAAGTGTTGTCAGCAGGATTGTGTGACTTGCTGGCGTGGACAATGATAACACACTGAAGTGTATTGAGTTGCTGTGGGATATGGGGCGGGGGGG